TAAAATCAGAATAAAGAGGAAAGGATAACAAATTTAAAACAAATTCTACACAAATAATCATATATAATTTAATTCAAAGAACAAAACAACCGAATCTTACTCGAAATAGTATTCTTTATCGAGAGATCTTGATCCACGAATAAGTCTATTTTGTACACCAGTTCTTTCTCGATCCAAAAAAGTATCTCTAATTCAAATCTTCGACAAAATCTTTTAGCTAAATAAAGCGAGCCGTACAAAACAAAATTTGTAAACACGTGAATAGGGACAGTGTGTAAACACGTGGATATCGTTCGCCATCTTGAATACTGAACGCATGCGCCGAAATGTAAGCGGATTGCCGCTTGTGTGGTTGTGCTGCCGCGCGGCAAAGATGCGTTTGCGTCACCGCTTTTCCTTGCCGCGCCGCATGTGTGCATCCGGCTTAAACCTGGTTTTGGGTTTAAATAAAAGCTTTTTCATTCTTATAATAAAATGCATATAAAAAATTATGAAATCGAACTGGAAGATTATATATCTTTCAATAAAAAAACATTCGTCCTCACAGCGATTCGATCTAGTGCTCTTGCAGTGCCCCTGGTGGTAACATTTGTCTCTAGTTGATTTTAGCAACGAGCGAAGATAGGAAGTCGAAAGACCAGTTAATCTACCGACTCTGGTTATAGTCAACCTTGCCCGTTTTCACAGAATGCAAGAATTGGTTCCCCGTTTCCGGACTCATTAGAGAATTTTTAGATGGGTCTAAAAATATGTTCGATTTCCCGCAAAAACGAAAAAAAAACTGCATCTGCGTCTTGCACCTCGCTTTCGCTTAGCAATTCCATTGTTACTTAGCACTGCCATTGTTACTTAACACTTCCATTGTCGAAACCTTAATCCTGTCTCTCTCCCCCTGGGGGAATTTCGAAAAATCCCTTCTTAGTGTGCGTTTTCGTGACGTACCCTAACTGTGTACCAAATTTCAACTTTCAACTCAACCGTTTGGGCCCTGCACTTATTATTATTATTGTGTTTAGCGGGTTATACTCGGTTCACACCGGTGTTTGTGTACTATGCCGGACCAGAGTCAAGGCGTAGCAACCAAAACAAAACTAAAATTAAATAAGTGTGTCAGTGTCTGTATTCAGGAATTTCTGTAGTGTTATGTATGTATTTCTATTCAATTGTAATTTTCCCAGGCTTTTGTGTAGTGTGTGTGGTATCACATTTGTACTGGAAAGAACAACCAGTGGCGTACCGTGGATATTGGTGGTGTATATGAACGCAAATGAATCGTACAAGCAAAAAAAAAATAAAAAGGTCAACAGGTTTCGCAGGAATTCCTCGGATGAAAAAGTTACTAATTCACCTGGAAAGCCAATTCCTGGAGAATTGGCTCTCCAGGTGAATTAGTAACTTTTTGGACGATAGCACATCGGACTTTCCGGACGATAGCACTATCGTCGGCGCGATGCAAGTATGGATTAGGATGTTTCAAATTTTTACAAGATATTATTATTATTTATTGTGAAATTTTGTCGCCCCCTAAAAAGTGCCGCCCGAGGCGGGCCGCCCTTGCCGCCCCCACTACGGTACGCCACTGAGAACAACAGGTACAATAAGCACCCTTTCCATCCTCTACAGATGCCTTATTTCCTGGGCAAGTTCTGTATAATTGCTAATTTTTTCAGTGCATGTGTTTTGTACATTGTGAGTGTTTAGAATGACTATGTCTATAATGTATGTGATTTTATTGTGTTTGTCAATGAGTGCGATGTCTGGTCTGTTGTGGTAAATTGTTTTATCTGTGATTATGGCTCTGTTGTAGTACAGTTTGTGCGTGTTGTTTTCCGATACTGTCTGTGGTATTATATTTGCTACTTGATTATGTGTGTGTAAATAATCTGTCTGTGCCAAGAGCTTGCATCCAGATGTAATGTGTTCTATAGTTTCTGGCACTATGTGACATTTTCTGCATGTGTCATTTGTGAGTGTTGTATCTTTGAGTATTTGTTTTCTGTAGTTTTTAGTACAGTAGAACCTCCTATAAAACCAGTTCATATGCTTCGGATTCCTATATGACGGCGAAAAAATTGCGACAGTATTCGTACAAACACGCTAGAAAAACTCGTATAATTCGGTAAAAACGTCATCGCCGACTCGTCGCGATGACGTTTTACCGAATTATACGAGTGTTTCCTGTCGCTATTGGTCTAGATTCGACCAATCCTGTCGCGACGCCGAAATGTCGTGTTGCGACAGGATTGGTCAAATCTAGACCAATAGCGAATATTGCGCAAACCGTTGAGTTTATACGAGCAGCGGACCTACTAAAAACCATTTATTATTTAACAGCCATAAAAATTATATTTATATTAATGATGTCTCCAAAGTTCAGCGAATTTTTCGCAAAAAAAATAATTTATCAGGAACCACGCGAGCGCCATTCGATGACAAGCTCCACGACGAAAACAAGCTTAAGCAATGGCGTAGTCGAATGGCGCACACTTGGTAAGTAATCCTATAATTTTTTGTTTATAGCATAGTTTATATGGATTATTTCCAAAAAAATTATACGTATTTTGGAAATGTTGAGTCGAATTAGTCTAGAATCGATTAATTTTATGGAAGAAACCTTTCAAACAGCCGTAGTCCGTAAACTGCATACGTGCCGGGCTGTGATTGGCTGGACTCGTAGAAAATAGATTCATAAAAACCGGAACGTATCTACCGTGTTATAGGGGGGTCGACTGTATTGAAGATTTTAAAAAATAAATCATTTTTTTAAAAAAAATTTAAAATTATTTATCTATTTAAAAAATAAAAATGAATCGTGCAATTTTAATCATATTATACATAACTTTGTAATTTATTCGGAAGCATAGCCTTGCAATTTTGAAAAAAAAGACTTTAAATTCAGAAAAGGAAACTATTATATTCGGAAATATCTTAATTTATATTTAGTACTAGTTACATCATCGGTTTTATTTAAGTGTTGTATATATTCAACCCTAACCTAGCCTAACCGCAGCGCTTCTAGTAAGCAAAAGTGGCTCTAGGCAGAAAATTCTGTTCTGCTCTCAAGAGTTCTAGTAACCCTGGTGTAAGATACATGTGATACCACACTCTATTCAAGGACATTGGCTGAGCTTAATCGAGTATCCACCAGATGTGACGATATAAAAGTCCAATTTTTAC